TGCAGCACAGGAACTAGAATATGTTATAGAAAATATAAGCTTAATAAACAACAAGAGCAATACCAAAATAAGACAAAAATATTTCAAAAATGTTGTAAATATGAGGCTAAATTTATAGATCATATTAATAACTATAAATTGATTAATTCACTTACTAAAGTAGAATTTTGGTTGGCTAATAAACTAATATTGAACTTCAGTTCTATGGTAGGAGAAAAATATAAATATTTAATAAATTTTAATAGAAAGGATAGAGATTTTTAAGGGCTCTTGGAAAAGTTTATAGAAAGTAGGGTTAAAAGATGTTTATTGTAATGCAAAAAAAATCCATGCATAGTTTTTTTTATGACACACATTTTCCACAAACTTTTTGAGGATTCCTCCTGCATATCGATATCCTTGATGTCTGCAAGGTATGAAATAAGAACCTGGGGCCAGTGTTGTGGTGTGGCTGGATAAGCTGCCACCTGCAATGGTGGTATTCCTTATGGGTACTGGTTTGAGTCCCAGATGCTCTACTTCTGATCCAGCTCCCTGCTAATGCTTCTGGGAAAGCAGTGGAGGATGGCCCAAATGCTTGGGCCCGTGGACTCATGTGGGAGACCCAGAGGAGGCTCCTGGTTTCAGTCTGGCCCAGCTCTAGCTGTTCTGGCCATTTGGGAAGTGAACCAGTAGATGGAGGATCTCTCTGTCTCTCTTTCTCTCTGTCTCTCTTCCTCTCTCTCTGTAACACTGCCTTTCAAATGAAATGAATGGATCTAAAAAAAGGAAACAAGACCCTAAATTACACCCTATACAAAAATCAACTCACAATGGATCACTACAAGACACTTGCATAGGCAATGATTTCTCAAATAAGACTCCAGAAGCACAGGGAATAAAAGCAAAAATAGAAAAATGGGATTACGTCAAACTAAGAAGCTTTTGCATAGGAAAGGAAACATTCAACAAAGAGGCAAATGACAGAATGGAGAAATTATTTGCAAATTATTCACTGTTGAAAAATTAATATCCAAAATATTTCATGAGCTCAATAAATTCCACAACCACAAGACATTCAAGTTGGAAAATGTACAAAGAACATGAACAAGCATTTTTCTAAGTATGGAATTCGAATTGACAACAGACACATGAAAAAATGCTCAGGGGGCCAGTGTTGTGGCATAGATAACATCCCTGCCTGTGGGGCTGGCATCCCATACGGCATTGGTTTGTGCTCCAGCTGATACACTCTGATCCAGCTCCTTACTAATGGCCTGAGAAAAGCAGCAAAAGATTGCCCAAGTGCTTGAGCCCTTGAACCCATGTGAGAGACCTGGCTGAAGTGCAAATCTCCTTGATTTGACCTGGCTGAGACCTGGCCATTGTGACCACTTGGAGAATGAACCAGTGGTCGGAAGATCTCTCTCTCTCCCTCTCCATGTCACTCCATCTGTCTCTGTAACCTGACTTTCAAATAAATAAATAAATTTTTTTCTTTAAGAAAGTGCTCAGGATGGCTAGCCATTAGGGAAATTAAACTGAAAACTATGATGAGATTTTCACCTCACCAGTTAGGATGGCTATCATCCAGAAATAACAAATGCTGGCAAGGATGTAAGAAAACTGATACACTGTTGATGGAATGTAAACTGGTACAACCATTGTAGAAAACAGTATGGAGATTCCTCAGAAATCTGAAAGTAGCTACCATATTACCCAACCATCCCACTCCTAAGAATATACCCCCCAAAAATGAAGTCAACATATGAGTATGTTATCTGTGCTCCCATGTTTATAGCAGCTCAATTAACAATAGCTAAGGTCGATCAACCCAAGTGTTCATGAATTGATGACTAGATAAAGAAAATGTGATGTGTAAACACAGTAAAATGCTACTCAGCCAAGTAAAGAATGAAATATTGTCTTTTACAACAAAATGGATTAAACTGGAGAATTTTATGCTTAGTGTAATAATCCAGGCCCCAAAATACAAATATCACATGTTTTCTCTGAGTTGTGATAACTAATATATAGAGTGAAAAATATAAGTTGTGGCCGGTGCTGAGGCACAGCGGGTAGGGCTGCCGCCTGCAGAGTCGGCATCCCATGTGGGTGCCGTTTTGAGTCCCGGCTGCTCCACTTTGGATCCAGCTCTCTGCTATGGCCTGGGAAAGCAGTAGAAGATGGCCTAAGTGCTTGGGTCCCTGCATGCACGTGGGAAACCTGGAAGAGGCTCCTGGCTTTGGATCAGAGCAGCTCCAACCATTGTGGCCAGTTGGGAAGTGAACCAGAAATGGAAGACACCTCTCTCTCTCTCTCTCTCTGCCTCTCCTTCTCTTTCTGTGTAACTCTGACTTTCAAATAAATAAATAAATCTTTAAAATATATATATATATGTGAATGAAATTAACATTTTGGGATTTAATTATTATTTATAGCCCTTCTCTACTGTTCCTGTGGAACAGTGGTCTTTCTACCTTATACTTGTTAAAAATTTTATTTAGTGGAGGATTTAGCCTGTGATTATAAAGTAAATTAAAAATGTATTGCAAGGATTAAAAGAAGGAAAGGATGAAGGAGTGGGGGAAAGTATTATTATGTTCTTTGAATTTTCTCTATGAACTACATAAAATTTGTTCTCTATATTAATAAAAATAAAATATATTGAATATATTGAAAAACTAAAAATAATACTAAAATAAACAAAACAATAAAAAGCAGAAATACAGAAAATGTTGTACCTCATTAGCTATTGCTAGAGCACTTTCTTATGTTCCTGAGGATTGATCATTAAGAAAAGAAAAAGTATTTATCCTGCCTTTACAGTACAACCAGTATTTCAGGAAAATTAAACGTCTTTAGTTGATATACTTTTCAGTGTCTAAGCTCTCCAACTAACCTATTTAGGATTAATAATAGTGTTAGAAAAAATAAATTTTCAATCTCTAATAAAATCATAATTGAGACAATGGTCTTTAATAGATGATAAATCTGTTAGATAAAAGTTGAGGGGTAGCTTCAAAAGAGGCTAAGCTGCCATTATTGATCAATTTTAGCATTGCTAAGCATGGGAGGCTGAGACATCCTCCTCTGCTTAATATGATGCAACATGAAGAACACTGCACCATCTATGATGTATTTCTCTCTCTCTGTTCATCGTGTATGTGTGTGTGTGTGTGTGTGTGTGTATAAGAGAGAGAGAGAGATGGAGAGAGAGAGAGAGAGAGAGAGAGAGAACTGGAATTTAATACCCAAATCTTTATATCTAATTTAAAGTCTGTTAGAAACAGAGAGCAGGAAGCAATCAGTGAAACACAGAATGAGGAGGATAGTTTATAGAAAAAATTGACTCAGTTTCTCTACTGACATTATAAAAGGTACAGGTTGATATTCTTGTTTAAAAAAAAAAGACTCAAAGGGCTGATGCTATGGCACAGTGGGTTAAGCTGCCACCTGTGGTGTTGGCATCTCATATGGATGCCAGTCAATCTCTGGCTGCTCCACTTCAGATCCAGCTCCTTACTAATTCTCCTGGGAATGCAGTAGAAGATGGCCCAAGTGCTTGGGTCCATGCACTCATGTGGAAGACCTGGAAGAAGCTGCTAGCTCCTGGCTTCAGCCTGGACCATCCCTGGCTGTGTGATCATTTGGGAAGTGAACCACTGGATGGATGGAAGATTTATCTCTCTCTCTCTCTCTCTCTTCCTCTTCCTCTCTCTCTCTCACTCTCTCTGCCTGTCTTTCAATTAAATACATAAATATTTAAAGAATACTCAAGAATATCATAATAAATCTGTATTTTCCAGCTGTGGAACAGTCTTGGTTGACTCCTATTATCCCAATTGTATTGTTTTCATCCTCTTTTTACTCTCAGAATCAAATAGAAAAAAAAAAATAGATGAAGAAAAAGTATTTGATAAAGTCTGTTTCCATTCCTGATAAAATTCTCAGAAAAGTAGGAGTAGAAAGTATTTGATTTTCTACAGCTGCTGGAACAAATTACCATAAAGTGATTCAGAGCCTTGTGGCTTCAGGGTGGCTTCGAACATCAGAAATTTATTATTTCATAACTGTATAGGTCAATAGCACAAAATGAAGATGTCAACAGGACCACACTCCTTTAAAACTTCAATAATGAATTCCTCTCTGTCTCTTCCATCGCTTGGTAGCCCTTGGAATCCCTTGCTTTCTCAGCTTGTGGCTAAATCATTTCAATTTCTACCTCGTTCTCCTCTGTGTGTCTGTATCTTCATTTTTGTCTCATAAGTACAGTTGCCATTTAATTTCAGGTCGACTTGTGCCATGATGTTTTCATCTCAAAATACTTAATCTAATTTCACAGGCAAAGATATTTTTTCTTTCTTTCTTTCTTTCTTTCTTTTTTTTTTTTTTTTACAAATAACATTCTCAGAGTCCAGGAATGTGTATGTGGGTATGTGCTTTGGAGGACCACCGATCAAGCCACAACATATAGGAAGTTCCACATCTTGATAAAAAAATCTACAGGAAACCTCATATTTCATAACAAAATACGGTTTTCTACTTGTGAACTAGAATAAGATAAGAATGTCCACTCTCAAAAATTCTATTCATCATTGTCTAATCAGTGCAATAAGGCAAGAAAAAGAAATTTCAAAAAATCCAATTTGGAAAGGAATAAGCAAAACTATTTCTTCAAGTTTGAAATAATTTTTATGTTAAATATATGATAGAATCTTTTTAAAAAGCCTATTAGTAGTAATAAATGACCTTAGAACAGTTGTAGGGTACAAGGTCAAAAGTGCTCCTTGATTTATGATGGGGTTACAGCTCAATAAACTTATCGAAGTCGTCGTTAATACACCTAACCTGCTGAACACCATAGCTTCACCTAGCCTCCCTTAACTGTACTCAGAACACCTATATTAGCCTGAAGGTGAGCAGAATCATGCAGCACAAAGCCAATTTATGAGAACGTGTTGAATATCATAATTTAGCTAATATGTGTATCCAGCAAACAAGGTCAACACAGTACTCACACAATGTAAAGCATTGGTTCTTTCCTTTTGTGATTGCATGGCTGACTGGGAGATTCAACTTAATGCCTCTGTCCAGCTTTGACAGAGGCTGTTGTACCACACGCATTGGTATCCTGGGAAAAGATCAAAATTAAATATTTGAAGGACAGTATTCATCTAAGCGTGTATTACATGTACAACATTCTGAAGTCAAAAATCATAAATTGAACCATTGTTAAGTTGGGAGTTGTCTATGTACAAAACCCAATTGCTTTTCTGTATACCAGCAGCAAACAGTTGCAAAATAAAATTGTAAAAAAAAGTAAAGAAAACACCACCAGGGCTGGATTGTTGACCAGAATTATTATTATTATTATTATCATTAGCAGTAGTGTTTTCTACAAAGGACATTTTTGAAAGAAATGATAAAATTAGAATGTCAACTATGTAACAATGTATCAATATTGATTTCCTGATTTTAATAATTGTATTTTGCTTATGTAAGAGGCTAACTTTGCTTTTAGCAAATACTTACACTCATTGAAATATTTAGATGTTAATGGACATCTCAAATTGTTATGAAAATGCATTTAATATATGAAATAGCATGAGAAACCATAAAGCAACTGATAGTAAAATGACAGGGAATCTAGATGAAAAAATCTTTAGAATCTCTCTGTACTATTCTCATACCTTTTCTGTAAGTAAACAAGAAGTTATTTCCAAGTAAAATATTAGAAGACCAAATGTGAGGAAATATATTGGAAGTGGTAATTATAAGCCACTTTTCAAGAATTTTGCTGCAAATGAAGCCACAGCTGATTGGACCAGTAGGGTCAAGAGGTGTGAAGCATTTTGTTACAACACTTGGCACAGAAAGGTGAGAAAGGTGCTCAGGTTACGAGTAGTAGGTCAATGAGACAAAACTCAAGCAAAGGCATATCTAGATCTTCATATTCTGTTCCCTGTGGAGAGCAGCAGGTCAGCAACACACTTTTCTTCCTTTTCTCATTTAGTTTTTTCTCTAACACACAGTTAATTTGTATAGGTTAGGTGCTTTCATTACACATTGTACTTGTCAGTTCTCATTATCAAGATCAAAATTTACAATGTACCCATATAACTTAAAATGTCAGAAGTTAAAAATGTAATAACTTGGTGGTTTTTGTTTTTACAAAGTTTTTATATTATCTCCAAACAGCAACAAGGAAGCCAGCCATAATCAAGCTTTATGGTAACAACACCTACAGAAACATTAAGAGGAATGCAGACACTCTTACGAACTGAAAGACTCTGCTTTGATATATTTACCCTACCTACTGTCCAAATGTAGTGGAACATATAAAAGCAGGAGGAAAATTCTTGTGTAAAGGATCCTGGTACTTCATCAGACTGCAAGATGTTTCTTTAACACTCAGACTACCCTATGGAATGTGGCCCATGCAGTCTTGACCCTAGTGTTCTTTCCTGCTGCTGTGGGAGTAGGACAGATGGAGTGACTGGAGAGAAAGTGATGGAAATCATTGCTCCAGGAGGGCAGCAGCCAAGATTTCAAGTAAAGTTATGGCTTCATAAAAAAATACTCATTAAGTGGCATTTTCTTAGACTTTCGTTGGATTATCACCCGTCAGTTATAACACATATTTATCTTTGACATTTTACATTATTATTTAGTAGGTGGAAAATTTTTCAACTGTGCCATTTTAAGATTTAGGAGAATCTGTGCTTCCATCAACAACACATAAATGAACCTTCCTTCCCCTGGGGTCATTTTTTTTTTTTTTTCTGTAGTGGATAAGACTCTTTCACTGTATTTTTTTTCTAGTTCAATGTTAGAAGATGGCAAAATTTAAGAATACTATATATACAATTCAAATGTAGGCTCTCATAAATGATATTTAATATATCTCAAGAAGGCAAGATATAATGCAAAGAACATTTTCTTTGCTGTCCAGAGTGTGGATGCATGTGTGTGTGTGTTTGCATGTGTATGTGTACGTGTGTATGCAGTACAGCATGGGCACTTACTGACTCCTGGGGTGCAAAGCAACCATAGAAGTCATTTATAAAGGTAAAGCCAGAGTTTCCCACCTTATTAATCTAATGTATATGAAGTGTTTGTGGATATTAAAAATTGTTTATAGGGATTGGTGCTGTGCCATGGTGGGTAAAGCTGCCACCTGCCTGTGGCACTGGCATCCCATATATGGGTGCCGTCCAATTCCCCACTGCTCCACTTCCAATCCAGCTCCTTGCTAATGGCATGAGAAAGTAGTGGAGAATAGCCCAAGTGCTTTGACCCCTGCACCCATGTGGGAGACCTGAAAAAAACTCCTGACCAACCTTCGCCATTGCGGATATTTGGGGAGTGAAACAGCGGATCAAAGATCTCTGTCTCTCGCTCTCTTTCTCTCCTTCTCTCTCTCTGCCTTTCAAGTAAATGGATAAATCTTTCAAAATATTTGTGTAGGGGCTGGCACTGTGGTGTAACAGTTACAGCTGTTGCCTGCAGTGCTGACATCCCATATAGGTGTCGGTTCGAATCCACTTCCAATCCAGCTCTCTGATATGGCCTGAGAAAGCAATTGAGGATGGCCCAAGTTCTTGAACCCCTGCACCTGCATGGGAGACCTGGAAGAAGTTCTTCCTGGCTTTGGATCGGCTCAGCTCAAGCCCTTGAGGCCATTTGCGGAGCTCTCTGCCTCTGCTTCTCTGTAACTCTGCCTTTCAAATAAATAAATAAATATTTAAAAAACATTGTTTATAAATGTTTTATATACTTATTACAAAAAGGCATTTAACAGTAAGATTTGAGATTAGTGATATTCATTATAGAGTATATTTTTGTTCTTTACACACTGTTTACCCAATAAAATCGGGTTAAGTTATCTACTGAAAGTTGGTTAAAAATCTGTGATCTATTAAAAGGCATGCAGGGACACAAAACAATAACAATAAACACAGAAATATATAAGATAAGTCAAGATATAATTTAAGGGAAGAATATGAATTTTATACCTATTTGTATGTAGAAAAGATAATCTTTATATTAGGTCATCTTTTTAAAAATAAATTGGAGTGGCAGTTCTCAGCCAACATGTTAATTGAATTTTTGAATTTGAAATTAGAAGGCAGTACTATTCCTTATGCTTGCCTAATCAGATCATCTTTGGTGACTGGTAATATCTTGACTATCTTAGCAATAGCCAGCAGCAAGGGAGTTTTCAGATTATCAAGTCAGTAAACTAGAAACAGGAAAGTTTGACTTCCAGTAGAAACAAAGAACAAAAACAATTCAATTTATAAAGCTTGGTCAAATTGAAATGGCCCTAGACAAGACTCTGTAGGATATAGAGGAGAAAAAAAAATTGTTTAGAATGTAGTAATGGGATGCAATTAAGGAAAAGAAAATGTAGGTTGAATATCAGAAACAATTTCCTAACAGTCTATTAAATTGTACATCAGTTTCCCAGGGGAAGAAATGGAACCTTCATTACCTAAGTCATTTAGAGCTAGACTGATTCCCGGAGGGTGTGGCAACCAAGGAGGAGTCATGAAAGTTAAAGTTAATTTTATGGCACAGTGAAATGCTGCGTGAGGTTTTGGGAGGGATCTAAAACCCCTGTAACAGACATATTCCATCATTTTAAATTGAATGGTTCATCCAGCTGTTTACCATTGCAAACATCAGATGAAGTCCACCCTCAGATAAATCCCATGTATCCCTGTTGTGGTAGGACAGAATAGGGACACATGCCATCAGAATGTGAAGAGACTCAATAAGGCTGCAATTCTGCCACTCCAAAGGGCAACAGGGCTGGGTCTGTGTTTACCTCTCCCCCACTTTGCCTAATGTGTCTCCTCCAAAGCTCTGCTGAAGAGGACGGACTCTCTACTAGGCTGTTTTGCAGTCAAGTGTAATCATCTCCAAGATGGTATCCAACTTGAGAGTGCTTTGGGGAGCAAATTGTACTGCTTAACCATTAATGATTGTTGTCTGGCTTTAGGTCACAAGAGACATCTACTTTTGATGTATTTTTGTCTTTTCTAATTTATTTGTCCTACTTATTCTTCAAAGGATGATTAGATAACAAATTTCTGAAGTACATGTCTATACTCCCACACAAAAATTCTCCAGATACTTCAGGATCCAGTAAACATTAATATAAAATGAAATCTAAGGGATGTTTAATGTCAGACATAATTGTGACTCAGAAGGAAAGAAAAAATAAAAATATTCTGCCCATAAAACTGTGATGATGTACTTTATCTCTTAGAGTTTTCATCTTATGCTTATTCAAATAATTTTAAAATAATTTTTGAATAATTATTTACTCACCATATTTCTGTACATTTTGTAATTGGTGAGACAAGTTGCTTAATATATTTCTCTACAATTTCACATTTGGAGTGCAAGCTTTCTGTATCCCTTTTAAATTCCATAGTTAGCGATAGCTATCTGTGTTGTGTCACAAAATGTCTTATGTGTCATCAAGAACCTTCATGAGATAGAATTTCTTTACATAGTGTTCCAATATGGTTTTGGGGACTTCTCTCACAAACTGCTGATATATGGTCTGCAAAATGTGTCACTAGTACTTTCTGGTTTGGCATTTAATAGTTAATAGATGTAAAATATAACATTTCTTTATCTCACTGTGGGTTCTGTATTCCTTAACTTCCAAAATCTACTCAATTAGTGCTTTTTGAAAATGGAAACAATTTCATTCATTCCTTTTAGGCTGCATATTTGTTTCTGACTACTAAATATATGTATGTACCACTGTGCAGTTTCTGTGCCTTTCTAAGCACATTATAAATTTTCAGTTTGATACAGAATTATACTGTATTTATTTAAGAGGAAGGGGAGAGAGAGAGGGAGAGAGAAAGAAAGAAAGAGGGAGAGAGAGAGACAGTCCCTGCATCTTCTGGTTTTCTTTCCAAATGCTTGCAATAGCTGAGGAGTCAGGTGCTGGGACATGAATCAGGTTTCCTGTAGGGTTTTCCAAAGGGAGACAGGACACGGGAGCGTCCATTCTAAGAGTACGCCTCTGGATAGCTATGCACTCTCACTTTTATTTAGAGGGTACCAACAAGTCTACAAGTTATCAGGCACATAGGCAAGGTTATACATCAACTTAAGGATTTGAGAAAAGGAATTTGGTCTAGTGGTCTAAGACAGGGATTAGAACCGTGTTGTAAATCTTCAGAGACAGGCCCATTTAGGTGCTCCTGCAAATTTACAAATTCCCAAAAACACTCCAAGTACCAATTAATGTCCATTAGCCCCCTGCTGCTCCCACTGCCACATTCCTGAGGTGGGTGTGCCCACCCCTGGCCTGTTTTGAGCAGAAACTGCAGCCTTGCCTCTAATTTCAGGGGGGTGTGGCCCGCTGAGAGGCACTTATGCAGCATTTCTACAGTTTCCCACAATTTTATCAGGGATCCAACCATTTGAGTCATCATATGCTGCCTCCCAGAGAATGTACATTAACAGAAAACTGGAATTGGGAGTGAATTTGGGACTCAAACTCAGGCACTTTGATTTGGAAGCAGCCATCTCAACAGGCTTCTTAACCACTGGGCCTGATGCTTACCCTGATCAGCTACTTTTTGAAGACATTTTAAATAACAATTGCATGTGACACTTATAGTACAAATATAACTGTTAAAATGACAATGCAAGGAGATATGACCAAGTTGCATACGTGCAGACAATGGCATATGTATCCTGTCATCTGGTTATGGATAACTGGAAGATGTAAAAATCATGTTCTTTGGAAATATTGTATTATTTGTCCTTATAACTTTTTTCCCAGACCTCATTTGCTGCAGCTGGAAAATTTTACCCATCCCAGGGTAAGTTGTTGAGAACTACCCGCTGATGACTTTACCCCAAAGAGAATTGCTGGGCTCTTTCTAACTCCTCCTTAAAACATCCTGTGTGGTAAAGACACATGTGTTAAGGGCACTAAAAAATTTGCTTGCATTTCTCAAAATTATGTGGTTTGTTGTTAGAGGAGCTCTGTCCAACCCCACCCCTCAAATCAATAAAGCACTTTCCTACATAATGGCTATGAAGCAGTTTCTTTATTTTATTTTATTTTTGTCTTTGAATGACAGCAGAACAGAGAGAGAGAAGGCAAGAGAGAGAGAGAGAGAGAGAGAGAGAGAGAGAGAGAGAGATCTTTCATCCACTGGTTCATTCATCAAATGGCCACAACTGCTTGAGCTTGGCCAGTCCAAAGCCAAGAGCCAGGAGCTTCCTGTGGTTCTCCCATGTGGATGCAGGGGCCAAAGTACCTTGGTTATCCTCTGCTGCTTTCCCAGGCACATTAGCAGGGAGATGGATTGGAAGTGGAGCAGTCAGACATGAACCAGCACCCGTATGGGCTGCTGGCACTGCAGACAGTGGCTTTACCCACTGTGTCACAAGGCCTGGAAGGTTTCCCAGTTTCTTTAGAAATCTTCTTCCTTGCTCTACTCAGCTTAATAGGGAGCAGCCTTCCATTTCTTCATCTCCTCATGGATTTTAACAAATGACACCAATCTTCAAGCTCATTCTTATTTGAGAGGTTAAGCTATGGAAAAGTGTATTTCTAACAACTGGGGCCAACATTGTCTGTCATTATGTGGCCCTCTATTCATTTTTTTATTTTTTTAATTTTATTTATTTATTTATTTTTGACAGGCAGAGTGGACAGTGAGAAAGAGAGAGACAGAGAGAAAGGTCTTCCTTTGCTGTTGGTTCACCCTCCAATGGCCGCCGTGGCCTGTGCGCTGCGGCCGGCGCACCGCGCTGCTCCGATGGCAGGAGCCAGGTACTTCTCCTGGTCTCCCATGGGGTGCAGGGCCCAAGTACTTGGGCCATCCTCCACTGCACTCCCTGGCCACAGCAGAGAGCTGGCCTGGACCTCTATTCATTTTTATTCCAGTTTAAGTCAGTTATCATGTGTGTAACCAGATTCTGTTATATAATAATGATTTATTAGATATTTTCTATATTCTAAATATTGTTAGTATTGATGCTGTGAAATAATAATCAGTTGAATTAGATATTGAATTAGATATCTAAGGAGTCCAAGGGTGATACCTCCATGATTAATGTGAAAGAAACTTATAGTGGTAGCTTCTGTTAAGAAGTATATAAACTGGGAGAAATCTGCAAAAGTTTTTCCAAAGAAATGATACTCAAACTAGGTAATTATAATTAATAAGAGGACTTTAAAACACAAGAAAGGCTTTTGTAAGAAAGTTCTCAGCAGCACAAAAGTTTATAGCTAGTTTGAAGACGGCTAAGTGGTTCAAGGAAAGAGCCCAGAATTATTGATAGGAAACTTGGGCCTTTACATCACATAACTATTCTTAAACTACTAGATAGGTCAGAAATTTCTGTTCTTCAAATTTACATTTTAAAAGTGGGTGAATAGAGAGCAGGAAAGATGTGGAACTCAGAATTTTGTTTCATAAATAGATCATATTTAAGATTAATAAATTCCTTATCTTACAGTTATTAGATGAGCTTTGAAGGTTTTTTTGTGTCTTTCAAGTATAAGGGACTTATTTTCTCCTAAGTTCTACCAGCTGAGATTTGCTGCATACCAATTGTACATGTGTAAGACAAGTCAGCCTCAATTTTATTATCTACATAAATAAATTCATAATACTTACTTTCTGTGTCACATAGGAAATATTGTTGGCAGCATGTACAAAATGGGCTTAATTTTTTATTCATGTAAGAGCTGGAAATAAAACTTTAAACTGAAAAAGAATGAAGACAGGCTCAAGATCTTTGAGACACCTCAGAATCTGAATCTGGGGATCTCTGGTGGGAAAGCAAAGAGAATGATATGTACTCCAGTTTAAATAGTTACCATGTGTGTAACAGGATTCGGTTGCCGTTTATTACCATGTGTGTAACAGGATTTGGTTGTCATGTACTTACCACGTAGCTACCTTGTGTATAACAGGATTCTGTTGCCATGTAGTAAATGCTCTTTAGATCTCCCTTCCTATGGATACTCTCTAACTACTATAAGGATAGAGCAGCACAGTTTGCATGTTTGTATCTAACTGCCGTAACTTTTTTCCCCCAAAATATCTTTAAGAACTATTAACAGTACTAGAGAGCAGGTACACTCATTTCTTTAATATGCTCCCTTTTCCCAGTGAACAAATTTTAACTGAACACTTACTGTGTATCACATATAGTACGAGGCACTGGAGAGAACAACGAGCCAGACAGGTGTGACACATTAGCCTCCGAGCCCACAGACTTGTTTATACAAAGTCTTTATAGAATGCTGAGGAGCTGTTAGGTATCCAGACAGCTCCAGTATCATAAGCTATATCCCTGATATTACCAAAACCGTGTCTAAAAACATGTACCAGAGTGAGTGTAATTTGCATCAGAGCAGCTTTGGAGCTGTGTTTATGAGTGTGCAAGTGTGTACTGTGTGTGTGTGTGTGTGTACCTACATGAGAGGAAGGAATTCATCCAGAAGTTTTGTTAAAGGACAGAGACCCAAAGTGTTCTGGAAGTAAGCATAGAGATTGTGAATTGCTGCATGTAGGCCCTTCAAAATACTTTGCAAAGCCTGTTCGTGAAGTGGAATAGCCATGTGTTGAGGTCCATAGAATACTTTTGTTAGTTTCTGTATACTCTAACAGAATTAAATTGAGAGAAAAAAGTACCTGTTTAAATTTACTAGTAACATGCTTTTAAGGGACACAATAATCCCCTTCAAACCATTCTAAGTTTCATAAAGGCGAGCAAATTGTTAATGGAATGTTTAATTAACATTTATTGCTAGCATATTAGTTTTACATGACTCACATTTAGTAGTACAGTGGAGTTGTGTTCTTGCTACCATATGTGCATTTTATAGCATACTCAGTCCCCATATATAATCAACACATATGGTTCATTTATACCCATTTTAAAACACTTGGAATATGATTTCCCTATTTCAAATGATTATGGGGGTTTATAGTTCTATCACTGCTTCCACTGAATTCAGCAAGAATTTATAAGGGAACAAAGTGTAAACTACACCACCACTAACACACTGAGAGACATAAGATGAAATAGTTACGATCTGCTCTGCTTAAAGACTTGGGCGTCTGAAGGGGAGGGCAGGTGTCTTTATTCACCTGTATGTGCCTTGTTGTTGTGCTAAGCACCAGGGAAAACAGAGATGGCCTCTGCCATCTAGCAGTTTTTTAGTGGGACATTGGAAAGAAACATAAAGATGTTCAAAGAACTGGAGGCAAAAGAGAGCAAGAAAATTTGCAGAAATGGAAGCAGACTCAATATATCTTTAACACAGAAGACAAAAGGTGCAGGCAATGGCCGGAGATTTAAACATGGAAGTAGGCAGGGGTCTGATAGCCATAGGTGTCACATGTTTTCAAGCTAGGAAGGAAAATATGGACTGTCATTGGTGGTTTTTAAGCTGGGA